TTTCAGTTCCAGGCCGACTCCTGGAAGATCCAGTCAGGTGACAGGCAGGAGAAACACAAAAGATAAATTCCTCCCACCTTTCTTATATTAAATCTTTTGGATTCCTCCCTTTCGGTTATACCAGGGACATTTTGACAGCCAAATTTGCTAAATATGCTGAACTCAGGTTTCAGTTACCCAAACAATCACTGTAGCAACACGCAGCTAGCTCTTCAAGGCAGCAAGTTATATCCAAATCTCGGACATTAGTATCCGTAGCAACAGATATAGTCAGTTCCAGTATTTTATCTCCTTTTAGGTTCCTCTAGATATTCATTTAGCCAGTGTAGTAGCTTCTCCTCTAGAAACAGACCTTGGTTGCACGGCTCTGATTCAAAGTTTGAAAGTAGTGAGCCGAGAAGATGACAAATCCTGGATATTTCCTCATAGGGCAATCAATTGCTCAGGTAAGGTACATCGGCAGTAATAGTGAATGACCTCACCGACTTGGAAGATGATGCTTCTGATGACAAGGAAGGAAGGTGGATTCAGGGCTCAAAGTTCTCAAACTTCCTTTTGTTTCTTTGGTTTTGGTCTGGCTGTTGTGGTTTACAAGGTCTTGCTCTGAGCGTCACGGTTCATGCTGAACAAGTGTTACTGGAGTGGTTAGAGCTATAGCCTGGTCTCCAGCAGCCACGACAGCTGGCTGCCCAGTCTCAACAGGGCTACTACAAAGAAGTGAGTGAGAAAGGAGATTTGTTCAATGGCTACATTGAGAAGACGAACTAATAAAGAATTCCAGTGACCATCTGTACTCCATCTTCAGGGTCCCGACATGAGGTTTAAGTAGACAGCAAGAGTTGTGCACAGCTAAGCAGTCCTTTCCATGGGTGTGGCCCTGGGTGTTATTGTCAAGAGTTCTGGATTCTTCTGTCAGGTGGTCTGCCTAGTCAGCACCTTATGAAGTCGAAGACAAACTCCCCCTCTGCCTCTGGTGCCAGATTCCATCCTTTTCCTTCACCTGGCATACGATTCTTAAGGGAATTTCAATTTCTTGAGGTTGTTGTTCCAACAGTCTTAACAGCCAAATGGAGGGATACAAGTATCTCTTTGTAATACCTTCATCCCTGCCAGGATAGCTATGTTAACTGTACTTATTCCTTCTCCCCAAAGCCACGGTGCATAGGGTCAGAAGAACCAGGGGATTTTACAAAGAATAAGTTTTGCAATGCAGCTGCCTTCCCATTTAAATCTGTGCCCCTCTAACAGTTCTGGGAATCTTATACCATGCCCCCATGAATCAGTCATTTAGAGAATATTAAAGAGAATTAATCAATGGGAGAACTGTTGCTGAGGCTTCATTTAAAACATGCAGACAGATAAGAAAAGCTTCTGTAAATAAGGCTGCTGACTTTAGCTGTGGAGTTATCCTTGGTTGCTCAGTGTCTGACCCAGGAAAGATAAAAGCAGTGGTATATTGCCTCCCAGGATGCGTGAGTCAGAGCAGAGGTGTGTGGCTCTGGATTCCTGAGAATGAGTGGCTCCCTTCTCAGCTACAAAGGCTTTGCTTTTACAAGCAATCATATAATGTCCATAAAACTTTCAAATGTATTATACATACATGTGCACTCTAGCTAGAGAATTGAAAAAAAAATATACACACGTTTAGAAGTTGCATATATGTGGACAGGTAGAACCACCAATAATGTGACCTAATACAAAATCATAACTTTACATATATTTATTCAGCATTCTTTTTGTGTTTTTGTTTTTAGTTTCTCAGTTGTGCAGTTCTTTGGTGTGAACTCCTGTTAACTTCAGGAGGCTGGGCACATCACTGGGGAATTTTTTTTTCCTCTCAGAGGCAAACTGGATCACAGTAACCAGTACGGGAAATTTCCAGACCATTGTCAGGCTTAGTTCTACTTGCTAAATTGCAAGCTAAGAGACCCCGAAAAGGTTTCTGTTGTTGTAGTGGTGGCGTTTTCTCCACACTGGGGATCAAACCTTTAGCATGCTGGGCATGCTTTTATTGAGTTGCATTCGAAGCTCCGAGAAAGGCACTCTAATGAGGACTTTCAGGTTTTGTTTAGAACAATATCAAAGTTGGGTTAAAAACAACAAATGAACTTATATGTTTTATCTTCGCGGTTTGTGAAGAGCTGGTTCGTGTCATTCTGTATCAGGCTACCTTTGGTTAAAGCTTCTATCAGGATGGCTTATTGTTTCTTCACCAAAAAAATAAAAAAAGCCAAGAAAAGCATGCTTTAAAAAGATAAATTTGGCCAGGCAACAGTGGTGCACACCTTTAATTCCAGCACTTAGGTGCAGAGGGAACTGGATCTCTGGGAGTTCGCGGCCAGCCTGGTCTAAAGTGAGGTCCAGGACAGCCAGGATTGTTACACAGAGAAACCCTGTCTCAAAAAACCAAAATCAAACAAATAACTAAAATGATTAATTTTTACTTTTCAAGACTCTGGCTTCTTTTTTTTTTTAAGATTTACTTATTTTCATGTGTATGAGTGTTTTCTTACATGTATATATGTGTGACTGGTGCCACGGAGGTCAGAAGAGGGCACTGGATCTCCTGGAACTAGTTACAGGTGGTTGTGAGTCCATGTGGGTGCTGGGAATTGAAGCTGGGAAGAGCAGTAAGGGCTCTTAACTACTGAGCCATCTCTCCAAGCCCTGGCTTGTTACTTTCAAAGACATGAGTGTTCTGTGTCATGAGGTAGCCCATTGCCATGTCTAAAATGACTATTAAAAATTTCTCTATGAGGAGCAATGTAGTCAAAGACACACACATATTCATATACATATGAACTGTATGTATATATTGTGAGAAAAAAAATCAAAAAATGCCTTCTTCCCCAAACAAAGTTCTCTATGAGACACTAAACTTTATTTCCCTACCCCATTTTTTGGGGAGCGGCCATTCCACAGAATCGGTAGCTATCTGCATAGTCTACTGTACTTAGAATAATAAAAAGGCTAGCTAGCATACTGTGCCAAGAGTATGCAGCTGAGTCATCCTACAAGGCACAATTTCCTTAGTCGCTGATTCTTTTAAATTGCTCAAATTGAAAAATCTTAGTAAAGTTGATTTTACCTGCAGGGTTGGGTGAGTAGGGATGAGGCAGCGGGCTGGCATGTAAGGGCTGTATTGCATGAAAAATACCTTTGACTCACTTGGCATGCCTGTTATAAAGGCTTCCATGTAAGGACCCACCTCCACAGCACCTCAACATGAAAGGCGCTAAGCTAGGGTGAGGCCCTTAGCCTCACATCCCTCAACGATACATTAAAGTGACAAAGTAGGAAACTCATTAACAGAATAGAAAAGCCCCTTCTCGAGATGAAATTGGCATTTAAAAAGATGATCAAGGGAAAAATGTACCACGGTGACATGAAAGAGGGGATGACGTCTAAACAATCCTACCACTGTACCTTGAGAAACAAGTTCATGTGGGATTGTCCTCCAAATTATCCTCATGTGAATATCCTCCAAATATTAGGTATCTTATAAAGGTTTGACCTGTCACGTTTGGTGGTGTTTAAAAAGGGTTTCCAATCCTTTAAAAAAAATTATGGGAACATAGGTGTGTGCATGTGGACATGTGTGTACCAGTATGGGGTGGCAGATTCCCTGGTAGCTGGAGATAAAGATAGCTGGGGGCTGCCAGATGTGTTGGGAACTTAAGGCGTCCCCTGGAAGAGCGGCAAGCACTGTTAACTGCTACATCATCTCTCAGACCCCTTTTCATGTTTTTATTGAACACACTAAATAACAGATGCCATATGACATTTTTACATGTGTAATGTCTACTCTGCTTATATTCACCCATGACCCTCTCTTGTTCCCCTCTTCTTTCCTTAGCCCCATTTCTCCTAATAATTTCCCTTCTACTTTCTTCGTGTGAGTGTGTATACACACATAACTGAATGTATACACAATAATCTAGATTCTGCATAAATGAAAACATGAAACATTTTTCTGAGTATAGCTTATTTAGGTTAACATGATCTCAGTTTCTTTTTTCTGTTTCCTTTTCTTTTCTTTTCTTTTCTTTTCTTTTCTTTTCGAGACACGGTTTCTCTGTAGCTTTGGAGCCAGAGCCTGTCCTGGAACTAGCTCTTGTAGCCCAGGCTGGTCTTGAACTCACAGAGATCCACCTGCCTCTGCCTTCCTGAGTGCTGGGATTAAAGGTGTGCGCCACCACCGCCCAGCATGATCTCAGTTTCATACATCTTTCTACAACTGGCATAATTCAAAAGAACTCTGGTTTTCAGGAAATTACCAGAGTATTTAATTTTGAGATTCACCTCGTGATCTTTGACACTGATTAACTTGACAGGCTCTAGCTCCACCCGGGAGACAAGCAGTTGGGCGTGCCTGTGAGGGATTGCAATGCCAGAATATGCACTGTACTGACAGAGCCATTTCTCAAACCTCTAAGTTTTCCTTTTTAAAAGGTAGAGGTCCTGTTCTTCGTTCAAAGAGACTCATACATCACTACTGCCAAACTACCGCAACTTTTAAAAAAAAAAAATCTGACAATGTCATGTATAGGAAAGATAAAGTTTCGGAAAGGAAGACACGCCAGGTCCTGAACCTTCATTTTCTACCTATAATTAGGGACGCTGTAGCCCATATCCTTAGCGAGTAGGAAAATTTTTTAAACTATTTTTTTTCTGTTTTTGTTGTTGTTGTTGTTGTTTGAGACAGGGTTTCTTTTTTTTTAATATTTATTTATTTATTATGTATACAATATTCTGCCTGTATGCCTGAAGGCCAGAAGAGGGTGCCAGACCTCTTTACAGATGGTTGTGAGCCACCATGTGGTTGCTGGGAATTGAACTCAGGACCTTTGGAAGAGCAGGCAATGCTCTTAACCACTGAGCCATCTCTCCAGCCCGAGACTATTTTTTTTTTAATTAAAACTTGGAAAAGTATTTTGCAAACCATAAAACACTGCACACTCAAAGTAGCTAAAGGACTACAGAAACTTAGACAGTTCGATTTCTACTATGAACATTTTATTTTGACAAAACTTACAGATTCTGAAACTCACAAGCTTTGACCTACTTAAAAAGCAAAAGACAAAACATCACATTACAATATCTCAGGTGTGAATGAACTAGTACCACATTACCTGCATTTTATATACTATACAAGCGTACCTGGAAGACACAAGAACAAACTCGTTTTTAAAGTACAGTCTCTGGTTAATAGATGCCTGTATTTCAATGTATTGCCACTATTGGGAGACACAACTTCATGATAATTATCAAATTCTACAAATCATTTTTTTCTACTTTTGATTTGGAAATTAAAAAGTAAGAGGAATGAAGTAGCTTAAAATGTTACTGTACAAAGTACATCATGACAAGGAATCCTAGGAGTTCCCTCTGTTTTGTGTTTTTAAAGTTTAAATTTATTTTGTGTTTGTGCATATAACAGTTACTTGAGTACGGGAATGTATATGCCATGACACACAACTGGAGGTTGGAGGACAATTTTCAGGACTGAGTTCTCTCCTTCCATTGTGGATTCTAGGGTCAAACTCAGGTCTTCAAGCTTGTAAGACAACCACTTTTATCTGCTGAGTTTTCAGGCCAGCCTAGGAATGACTCCAGGAAATTTAAATGCTTTATAGCTTTAAACTTTTAGTGTGAAAAGAAAGTTAACACATGTGGAGGGATTAATAATGACTGTTCAATAGAACCTTCGTGTAGTTCTGAAACATCTACTTGTATAGCTGCCTTAAATGGAAATTAAAAGTCCACGATGGGAATTGTAAGCTTATTCTGCACTAGATATAGTGAATGTTTATACATGAACACGTGACTGCTTTTTACACTGACTTTTCACTCATATATACAGAAAGTGCTTATCAATGTATAGAACTACTTCTTAAATCCTAAAACAAAGATAAAGGCACATAAGTGGATAACAACTTATGTGTGTGTGTAGTGTAGGCACAAGAGTGTTTGGGAGCACCCATGTGTGCTTATTCTGAGGCCAGAGTGGACTGTCAGGAGACTTCCTCTATGCCTTCCTTATTTTCTTGAGACGTTCTTTCCCTGAACCAGAAGTCACTGTTTCGGGTAAGCTGGCTGGCCCCTGGGCTCTCAGGATCTGCCTGTCTCACCTCCCCATGCTGGCTTACAGGCACCCTCAACCCTATACCTAGCCTTTTATATGGGTGCTGGGGATCCAAACACATGCCCTTATGCTTGCCGGACACGTGCTCATACCCACTGAGCATCCGTCTCCTTAGCCACAACTTACACATTTCATGTGAGCATCTTCAACTCATATTTAAGCAGCTTTAGCTGCTATCTTGAGAGAGAGGTGACAAACCTGTTAGGAATTTCTATGACTTTGAAAAGTTAGTTAATAACAAAATGTTGCAGCTCTGTACACTGAGTAGTCTCCTTCACTCTGTGGGCCTGGCTGCTCACTCCCTCTTCTATCCTGTAGACTGTAACAACTTAGGTCTCAGCAATCAGACCAGAAAGACTAAGAGAGAAGGACGGCCAAATCCGTCTCCAACAGAAATTTCTAATCCTGTTACAAGATTTAATACATTTGTGAGTTAAATTTTAAAGTAATTATAAAGCCATTTACTCTAACACAAATGAATGGAATGTAATTAAGGATCACAGTTATAAAAGTGTTTAATTTTAAGGAATAGCATTTTTTCATTTATATAAGGAAATGTAATAGCTAGCAGCATCGAAATACAGAAATGGTTCCATTTCTTTTTCCTTTTATAAAGTATACTAAACTTGCCCATTTCTAAATGGGCAAACTATTTAGCTTTTCAGTAATTACACCATACCTCTTTGAGTAGATAAAAAAAAAAATCAAGTGAAAGAATTTGAACATTTGTAAAATATTGCTACGAAGCATAGAGATTATGAATGTACTAATAAAATTAAATGTCTCTTATATGAGAACCGTATTAAGTTGATTTAATAACTACTTCACAGAAGCATAGGCTATTAATACTTACGCTGATTTCTGCTACTTTCTAAACAAGAAAAGCCTTGTTAAGTAATAAGTAAATCAGTCTAAGTATTGTAAGCTTCATCAAAAAGAAACCCTAGAGTACAAACCTCAGAACGGGTAGAATTTCAGAGAAGCAAAACAAGTTAGTGATAATTAAGACACATATTTAAAAAAAAGTACCATAGGCTGTTAAGTGTTCTTCTATTTATGTAAAAAAATGCGATTAATAATGTACCGTATACTGAATAGTGTTATATAGGGACAATCCTATATAGGCACAAACCAGATTACAGTAACTCAAAAGCAAATGCTGCTTATTTCTTCAGTTCAGTGATTAAAACTGAAATTGCTTGTTTCAAAAAAAAAAATGGGAACTGCTACTTACAAGTTTCCCATCTCGATTCACATAGTTCTCATTTGTATTTCACATTTCCACTCTGACCTGGGCCTTTGCTAGCACCGTAAGGAGCAAGTGCAAACAGCAGAAAACCAGGGCAGCCTGCAGGTTTGTTCACTTACAACCATGACCAGGTTCGCACACAGTTTGCCTTTTCTGACGTCCTACGAGTCACTCAGGAAAACATACTTGATAGTCCTTACTGTGCATGGTGTCTAGTAATGGTGACAGCAAGGGGCTCTTAGTCACCAATCAATCCCAGTTCTCACACGTTCCTGGTTACAAGGGTGGGGTGGGGGAAGAGGCACAAATCATTGCATCATGAATCATTCCAGACGTTCTCTTGCCCCAGAATGCTATCCGGGAAGGATTACTACAGATCCACCCCAAGTCTGCAAGTTACAATGCTAATTTATGCTGTCTTTTCGGGTTCCACTTTCTTATTCACTGCCAGTATTAGTCTACCTGGAAGAAAACTAAACCTTAGCATTTCTAGCAGGAATTATTTTGTTTTTTTTTTTTTTACCCAAATACATTGGACTTCGGTCTCAGTTTGAAGGAAGATGAGTGGCCCTTAAGGGACCTTTCCTCTTCCTCCTCTTCGCCCTCCTCCAGTGGTTGCTCGGTGTCCTTGAATGAGGGAGTGGTGTGAATGATCTGGGTTCGGAATCGGATTTTGTTGAGCCGTGGTTTTAACCGTCCGCTGGAGCTCCCCAAGGCTTTGCGACCTGAATCTTTCGCCTTGCTCCCGGCCTCGGCGACGTGGTGGTGGTGGTGGTGGTGGTGATGTTCGGTGCCATCTTCCACGCCCTGGGAGAGTTTGTAAGTGATGAGGTGTGACGGGAGCACCTTTGAAAGTCTCCAGCGCCCACTCCCGCGGCCGGTAGTACTGTCCCCATCATCTTCGTCCATGACGCCTACCAGGTTCTTGATCTCTTCTGCGATGCTCTCACTCAGGTACTGAGAGGCCTTTCTCCCGCTGTAGTCCCTGATGTCCACATCTGCGTCGTAGGCCCCCACGAGTAACTTCACCACCTCTACGTGCCCGTGCATGGCTGCCAAATGCAGGGCCGTGTAGCCTCCGCTCGACCTGGCATTAATGTTCACTGGCAGCTGGTGTTTGCTGGCAAAGTTGACCAACATGGCCAGGAGCTCCTGCCTGCCGTGCTTGGCGGCCCAGTGGAGACAGGTGAAACCGGTGATGAAGTCTCGCTTCGACAGCAGGCCAGGCTCACAAGTGAGCAGCCCTTCTAGGCTGTCCCACTTGCCCTCCGAAGCCGAGAGCATCCAGGCGTGCTCCAGAGGATCCAGCGTCACCGAGCCCCCACCGCTGCTCTCCTCTTCGGCGGATGACGAAGCCAAGGATGCGCTATCGGAGTCGCCCCCTCCTCTGCTGCGACCTCCTACGGAGTTACCGTCCCCGGGACACACGCTCCTCTTGAGTTGAGGGGAGCTGCCCATCAACAGGTCCCGAAAGTTCTGACGGGCCGACCTCGGTGTATTTGGCGCACTAAGGGAACTGCCCCCTTCAGCTTCCTCACCGCCGTGTGCAGGGAGTTTCAGGTTCTCTCCAGGCCCGGGGACTGACGCCCAGGACACGGCCTGGACCTCCTGTGGCAAGTCCTTAGACGGGGCCCCACTTTGAGCAGGGATCGGAAGCTCCTGGTCGCTGAGTTCGCCTCCCGGGCCGAGAGACAACTGTGGATCCGCCCCCACTTGGAGCTGGCTGCCCTCGCATGGCTCGGCTGGAAAGTCCGGGACTTCAGGCTCTTCAGTCACCTCGATACGCGGTGGATCACGGGGGAGTGAGGCCTCAAGCGGAGGGGACCCCCCTGCACAGAACCTCTTCTTGAGATGCACGTACTTGGTCCCATCCGCGGGATCGGTGCGCACGGTGGCCACCGCGTTGACCAGATCCTTGAAGTGTTCGCGGGCGCGGGTGCGCTGCTCCCGGGGGCCGCCCAGGGCGTCCCTGAAGTGTTGCACCAATTCTGAGTGTCGGGCCCGGCCCCCGCGCTCGGTGAGAAAGCGCACGATCGCCTCAGAGCTCGGCTCCATCCCGCAGCTCAGCTCCTCGGCCCCGGGACGGGTTCAGCCCGACAGCATAGCCGCGCGTCCGGAGAACCGGGAGAGAGAGCGACTGGGTGCACGCGAAGCCAGCTTTAGAGCCCGTCCCGCGAGCGCTGACACCGCCTTACTGGGGCTGTGTCCCAGTAGACACGCCCCACCACGCCCACTTCCGTTTGGGCCGCAATCTCTGCGCCAGTCTGCGGCCCCGGGCCACGCCCACTTCCGGGCTCCGCGCGGGCCGGCAATCACTGGTTCCGCCTGTGGCGGGGCGTCGAGGCGCCTAGCGTTTTCTCCAAGTGCCATATTTCTGGTCACCCTCTTCCCCCGCCCGGTGGCTTTTTCGCCTAAAACGTCCCGGGGGAGCACGCCCGGGAGAGCCTCGCCCGGAGCGCGGGAAAACTCCTGGCAGTCATGGGCGAGTCCCCACCCCCGCCGGCCTTGGCCCCGCCCCAGCCGCCTCTCGGTAGCGGCTGCCCCGCCCATTAACGGCTGCGGGTCGTCCCGCCCGCCCCGCGCCCCGCCGGTAACGCCCAGCGGGTCCTCTCTCCGCAGCCGCCCGGGACGCGCGTTTGGGTCCGGCCTGAGACCACCGTTTCGTGACGTCTCACCAGGGCTATGGCCGCTTTCGACGAGGTGCGGCAGCTGGTGAGCCCCGCGCCCTTGTGTTCCCCGGTCCCGGCGGCACTCCCCTGAGTCCCCGCCCCGCCCGATCGCCTCGGGACCAGCGGGATTGTGACTCCCGCGTGCCGTGGAGAGTGGGCTCCCTGCTGCCCCAGGGCGAGGGCTGAGGAGCTCTGGCGAGCGACTGTGGATGTGGGGGAAGTTAGATTCGCCAGGCTTCCTGATCCTGACCGAAAGGGGGGGGGTCTTAATTAAATCCGGGATGATGACTGATGGCTGTCACTTTGTAACGGTTTTTGTGAGCAGGCCTTGTCATCCGCCTAGTTTTGAGCAGTTGTGTACACGTCCCGGCTGGTAACTGGGAAGTCGGCTTTCCTGGCTTTTCCAAAACTTGGCAGTTTTACCGTTTTGCGTGGTGGTTCTGTTTTGCTTTCCCCTCTCCTTGTAATTAAAAGAACGTATGACCGATCCTGTATTTTGTGCGTTTCAAATAACTTTTGCATAACATGTTGATACTGGATACTAAGTCATAGTTATCCGGATAGCCATACTATTTTCATAATACCAATCTCTTGTAATCTTGCCTTTGTTCCCATCATTTTATAACTGTTCTTGGAGTTTTCTAGATGCTGCATGGGTAGAATGGCCTCTCTATGTTTACTTCCCTAACAGCTACATGCAGTAGATAATTTTTTGTTTTGCTACCTTAAAAACTCCAATTTTGCCTTTATTTAGTATTAATGAAAATAATCCTCTTAACCTTAAATACCTTGATATTGGTAGCATTTTCGCAGGATTCTTAATCTCAAGCAATATTACTCTATTAAAAATTTTCCAAATAACTTCCTGCTTACCTGAAACTAGTGGCTTTTATTGTGTTTCTATACTTCATTTTAGTTGTAGAGATTATTTCTGTAGCCTAAAATAAAAATAAATCAAAATAGTTAAATGCTATAATTTCCATGTGAACTTGAACTATGGCCATTTACATGAAAAAAAAAATCATATATTTTAGCTACAAAAACCTTAATGGCTCTCCAGTAAAACCATCCTGTCATGAAAAGTATTGTCACCGTGTAGTGACTTACCATCTAAGTCTTCAGCACCATGAAACCCTGATTTCTTCTTAGGTCTGCTCACTATCACAAGGTCTTATTCTGGAAACAAACATTGGACACACTAACTGCATTTTCATCCATCATCACATTTGCTATAATACTGTCTGCTGTGGGTGAATTATTTGATATCTGCATGCAAATGAAGTTCTACCATATTTTAAATCTGTTTATTGCTTCTTGTAGGGAGAGGTTTATATTATGGCTCATATACTTTTATAGAAAGCTGAAAACAGGGCTGGGCGGTGGTGGCGCACGCCTTTAATCCCAGCACTCGGGAGGCAGAGGCAGGCGGATCTCTGTGAGTTCGAGGCCAGCCTGGTCTACAAGAGCTAGTTCCAGGACAGGAACCAAAAGCTATGGAGAAACCCTGTCTCGAAAAATCAAAAAAAAAAAAAAAGAAAAAGAAAAAAAAAGAAAGCTGAAAACATTGTAATTATTATTTGCAGTTAATAGTGGTAGCATTTATGGGTAAAATTCTGCGAGGATACAACAGTCATAATTTTAGGGAGCAACAGTCATAATTTTAGCAGCTGGTTTTTTGTTTTTGTTTTTCGAGACAGGGTTTCTCTGTAGCTTTGGAGCCTGACCATCCTGGAACTAGCTTTTGTAGAACGGGCTGGCCTCGAACTCACAGGATCTGCCTGCTTCTGCCTCCCGAGTGCCGGGATTAAAGGCGTGTGCACCACTGCCTGCCTAGCAGCTGTTCTTTATGTTGCTTTTGATTTAGTTAAATGAATCTTGAAAGTCTAGATATGGTGGGTTCCCCAGCCCCTCCAGGGTCCTTTAGGCAGTCATGGGTCGTAAGGCTAAGGGGCTTAGCAAAGGTACAGTAGGAGAATTGAAGGCATCTCCTCTGACTTCTTTACTGTCTCCTCTTTACCATCAGGTCAGGTTTTTGCTCCAGCAGAACATATACTGAAACTGGAATGCAGATTTGGAGACTACTTCATATTTTTCTATTTTGAGGGGCAGAGGAACCAGTGGGATTCAATAGAAGGTCAAGGGAAGCTAAAGGGGGGGGGCTGTGAATAGTATAAAAGAATATTGTGAAATTGTCGTATTGAAAACCATTATTTTATATAAATGATATATGTTAATGATAATACAGAGAGCAGATTAAGTTTACCATGATACCTTCCTATAAAGCACTTGGAGTGGGATGGGGGTGTGGGGTGTGTGTGTGAAGGATGAGGCAGGAGAATCTTAAAGTCAACCTAGGCTACATAATGACTTCAAGACTGGCCTGGATTAGGTAGAGAGACATTATCTAAAGAAACAAAAAAAGCTGGGCAGTGGTGGTGCACGCCTTTAGTTCTAGAACTTGGAAAGAAGAGGCAGGTGGATCTCAGTGATTTCGAGGCCAGCCTGGTCTTCAAAGCAAGTTCCAGGATAGCCAGGACTGTTGCACAGAGAAACACCAAAACCAAAAACCAAAAAGAAAACAAAAACAAAACAGCAATAAAAAAGCAAAACAAGAATAAGAGTCCCAGTTCATTTTATCCTCCATGTTGGCCATATTTATGGAGACTGTGAGAAATCCTTTATATATATATATATATATATATATATATATATATATATATATATATAGAGAGAGAGAGAGAGAGAGAGAGAGAGAGAGTTCATACACGGTGAAATAAGTATAGTATCTATTCACAGATACCTAATATGTTGTGAGTTGTCTACACTTGTTTTTTTCAAGACAAATGACCATTATACACAGTAATACTTTGTTTGACTGCATGTGTATGGCTTAGCAAGAATTACTTGAACACTTGAAAATGCAGATAGATATCTTACTGAGGGAGACTGTTAGTAAGGTAGTACTGTATGTAGAGATGAGAACCATTACTCACATATGTCTTGCTTAGCTTAAGCTGTCAACTTGATGTAGTACAGAGTCATCTGTGGCGGTCGTCATGGATGGATTGCCCAGATCAGATCGTCTGTGGCTGTGTCTGTGAGGATTGTCTTGATAGTTGATGTGAGAATACCCAGCCCACTATTGGCAGTGCCTTCCCTGGCAGGAGGTTCTGAGCTGTGTAAGAAATCCAGGAGAAAGAAAAAAAAATGGATCTTTTTCTCTAAAGTACAGTTGCCAGTTTATGTCTTTTACTGGGGAATGAGAATACTCATATTTATAGTTATTAGTGAAAGGCATGTATTAGTACTGTTTTCCTAAATCTCTTTTGATTTGTTGGTCTCATATTTATTTTTCCCCTGTGACCTTTTAGGTATGTTCCCTTCAATATTCCTTCCATTATCTTCCTTTTATTTGGCTTATTGACCATAAATTCCACTAGTTTGTTTTAATCCTTTAAGATTTTAATTCTTCCTTCAAATTAGGATAGGTAGTTTTGCTGACTATAAAAGTCTAGATTGACAGTTTTTGGTCTTTCAGAACTCAGAATACAAATATAAGCCCTTCTTGACTTAAAAATTTGTATCAAATCATCAGCTTTTATTATGCCTGGTGTACTTGCTTGCTGTAATTAATTAAACATGCCAACCAAAAGAAACTTGGGGGAGGAATAGATTTATTTGGCTTACGCTCTCAAGTCACAGTGCATCACTGAAACAAGTGGGGTTGGGGACCATGTAGGACCACTGCTGGCTGGCTCACATTTAGACTTGCTCCTTGGCTCCTGCTCAGCCAGTTTTCTTATACAGCCCAGAACTACCTACCCAGGGGATGGCATGATCCACAGTGGACTGGGCCTCCAATTAACCAATCAAGGCAGCATCTCACAGACATGAGACTCCCTCAGATGACTAGACGACAGCTGGGGTTAACTAAGAAAACCACCCTTTCTCTGTTTGCCTTTAGAATTTTAACTATAATAAGACATGGCGAATTTTTTTAATTAATTTATTTATTAAAGATTTCTGTCTCTTCCCCACCACCACTTCCCATTTCCCTCCCCATCCCCCAATCAAGTCCCCCTCCCTCATCAGCCCAAAGAGCAATCAGGGTTCCCTGCCTTGTGGGAAGTCCAAGGACCACCCACCTCCATCCAGGTCTAGTAAGGTGAGCATCCAAACTGCCTAGGCTTCCACAAAGCCAGTACGTACAGTAGGATCAAAAACCCTTTGCCATTGATCTTGAGTTCTCATTAGTCCTCATTGTCCGCTATGTTCAGCGAGTCCGGTTTTATTCCAGGCTTTTTCAGACCCAGGCCAGAGAATTTTGTCTTTTCTATTTAGAGTTGTTAGACCTCTTTTATCTGGATGAGTACCACTTTCTCTAGAACGGGAAATTTTCTTGTAAATACCTTACTTGCCTATGGCAAGGAATTCTTCTGTATCCATAATTCATAGATTTGGACTTTTTATGGTGGCCCAAAGCTACTTTGTCTTCAAGCCCTGATACTTTATTTTCTGCATTATCTACACGGCTGATGAAGTTTGCCACTGGGCTCTTCATTTGGCTTATTGCATTTTTTTTCTTTTCAGCATCATTTCTTTTTTCTTTTTGTTTTTTTGAGGCAGGGTTTCTTTGTAGTTTGGAGCCTGTCCTGGAACTAGCTCTTATAGATCAGGCTGGCCTTGAACTCACAGAGATCTGCCTACTTCTGCCTCCTGAGTGCTGGGATCAAAGGTGTGTGCCACCACCACCTGGCTTCAGAGTCATTTCAATTTGGCTTTTCATCAGTTTTTTCATTATTGAGTCTGTTTTCATATCTTGAATTCACTTCTTTATTGTTTTTATTTTCTCTTGGGTGCATTCTTATCTTTGAGTTTTTGAACATTTTCTTCCTTCCTTCCTTCCTTCCTTCCACTTTTCTTGGCTTCCATTTTTGTAGTTCAGATTATCCTCTCCCCACTTTATTTCTTTTGCTCTAGGATTGGCACTCGGAGCTATGGTCACTGTCCCTGCCCTTCCCCTGAGAGTCA